AATTTGCTCAATTTAATAAACAAATTACCACTAAAAACCTTGATTACCTCAACCTTGATTATTTAGGATATTGTGCAAAAAACCTTTCCAATAATAATTATTGTTTATCATCTGACCATGCATCTGTTTGGTCATCTTTTTTCTTATTAATTGTTATAATGACATTTTTTGTAAATCAATATCAAGTAGATCAACCGGATTAATACACACATTAGCAAATCTATTTGTATATCATTTTATTAATCTTCTCCATTATGTTACTGTATTATTTTAAGGAATGATCAGCTGTAAAAGTGTTCTTACTGGAGTTAGTGTATCTGATGCATACATAACGTCCATTTCAACTTCCAGATTGGTAGACTTTGGAATTTGCTTGGCAGTCGAGACAGCCACCTCTGATTGGCTGGAAGAGAAAATAATCAGCGTCAAAATTTAAAATATCACAACAAATTGAAATAAATGTATTGTTTATATCAAGTGGTATCCTTAAAGTTATAAGCATCATGAAAAAATACATATTACTTTTTATACTCTCTATTCAACCAAGAAATAATATTAAAAATGACATTAACTTTGTAGGTTTTTTGTGTCTAAGAAGACATTAATATACTAGTAATAGCCAAAGGTTATGGAGTGCGGGTGACAATGGTTGAAGGCCAAAATGCTTTTGCTCCAATGCTGTACTCTGTGCAAGTTTCACGTCATAAAAGGTCAAAACACGTGTGATTAAATTGCGTTCAGTGCACTCCATTCATTCGTAGTGGAAGTCCAAACTAATGCTGGCTACATACATGTGACACATGTGCAATAACAACCTGGAGATTAGGATAATGGCCTCCTCTTGTTGCCCGCAACTATAAAAATAGCAAAGATTTGAATATAATTCGCGATAAAACTAAAAGGTACACAGTAAAGGCCTTTGCCTAATGCTAAGAAATCTTGGTAAATAATTTGTAAAATTCAGGCCTGCATGTTTAGGGTTTTTTTCGGTCATAATGGTATAACCATTTTTGTTTCATCATCTCACCTAGTGTCTCCTTGAGGGACTCTCCTGCGGGGATGAACTCTGCAAACATAATCACAAAGATTTTGTACAACAACAGTCTGGTAATAGAGAGGAAAAGTGTGACATCACATTACCCGGTAGCAAAATTTTGGATCACAACAATAGGGATGTAAGCAACAACAACGGCGACAGCAATGAGAAGGACAAAAGCGATAAGTTTAGATAGCAAAACATCAACTTTGCAACATGCTTTTTTGTCCATTTCTTAGCCGTCATTGCACCACTATGACGTGAAACTTCCTTATTTCATGCGCCCACCTTATAAAGTAGGTGAACACAACACAATCTTTTTTCTTTTTCTAAACTTAAATACAGTCCTTCTGGACTTAAACCCAGCAAATTTAGCCAACATTTGACAAATTAATTGAACCTGAATAAGATCGATAAGCCTGAAACAGTGGAAAGTCACTTTTTAAGTGACATTTTTTGGTTTGTTGTCATCCAGAAATTTTGCTACCATGGCAACTTGACATTAAGGACTTCTCCCTATTATTTAGTAGTACAAGTATCTCAAATTTCACCATTTTTGTCAAGTCAGCCATGCCAAAAATGGTGGTTCAGCTCACTAATATTAACGCTAAAACAAGAAAAAAAAAACACGCGAACAGTGGATAGGTAGGGCAGGTCAGGCAACGGCAGATGGCATTAAAAACAACTGTATGTACACTTGAACCCATACTCCGAGCCATGAGTGAAAAAGACATTTCTACTTCATTTGCTCCTCAGCCAGCAGAAAACCACACATCATTACAGAAGTACAAGAATTTATTCCTACTGTCTTACCCTTTCCGTTTTGGTGATTGCAGGTGTATCTCATTTTCACGGGAATTAGAATGAGACAAACCATGTTCTTTCTCAGCTGACACTTCTTGATCGTTGCTACTTTCATCATTGATTACTATAACAGGAGTTCTCTCAGGGCTAGAATAGCCTGCATCACCAAAATCCCCATCATCCATTGGAATATCAACCATGCTTTCCACTGCATCTACATTATTAGACTTCTCATTGGTGGTGTGACTGTGTCCAACACCAGTATCTCTACCTGGGCTACCTGTGATTTGTCCTTCATTTTCTGTTACAGGTCCCCCAGTAGTTGGGATTTCTATAACAGGAGCCACATCTGCCACAG